AACTACCTACCAAAATGTGCGCCGATGTCGTTGAGTCCTTGATTGGCATCGCGTTTATGCAAGGCGGCGTCGAAAAGGCGCTGGACACAATGGCGCATTTCATACCCATGCCGTCCAAGATGGAGTGGCAGGACATTGGCCTGGGGTGGCAGACGCTGTTTGACAGGGCGTTGGATATACCGTTGCCTGTCACTTTGCGCCCTGTTGAACAAATCATCGGGTACACGTTTAAGAAAAAAGGGCTGTTGGTTGAGGCTCTCACGCACCCGTCGTACAATGTCCCTGGTGTGGACGCGTGCTTTGAACGGCTCGAGTTTTTGGGCGACGCTGTGTTGGACTATATTGTTGTCAAGGCGTTGTTTGAGGGCGGCGGGCTTAAAAACTCGCAGATGCATACTCTCAAGACAACGTTGGTGAATGCGGATATCTTGGCTTTCTTCATGATGGAGTGGATGATTGAGGAGGAGAGGGTGGATCCGGTCATTGTCGTGGAGGACAGTTCGTCCAGGGAGTCGAGTGATGATGAGGAGGAACGGCCCAGGAAACGGGCGAAAGCAGCAGCTCTAGAGTTCAAGCAGGTGAGGTCAACGGTCCGACACCCGCTTTGGTCGTTTATGCGGCATGCGTCACCTGAGATTGGGCTGTTGCAGCGCGAGACGGAGAAGAGGCATCAAGAGATGCGTGAGGGAATACACGAAGCGTTGAGAGGGGATAAGTATCCGTGGGTACCGCTGATCAAGATGCGGGCTGCCAAGTATTACTCTGACCTCTTTGAGGGTTTGCTAGGCGCGGTGTGGGTGGATAGTGGTGGTGATTTCGAGGCGTGTCAGAGATTTTTGGAGAATGCGGCCTTGATGCCGTTGATGAGGCGACTTCAGAGCGGGAATGTGCATCTCTATCATCCGAAGGAGGAGCTGGGGTGGCTGGCTGGGAATCAGACAGTGAGGTATGATGTCGAGGAGAGGGTGCTGGAGGGAGAGGATGACGAGCAGATAAGGGAGTATGGGTGCCAGGTCAAGGTTGGAGATGCTCTTGTGGCTGAGATCTGGGGAGCGGCAAACAAAGAGGAAGCGAGGTGTATGGCTGCCGACGAGGCGGTGACGGCCATCAAGCTCCCGAAGTTATCTAAGGATGGGGATGTCCTTATGGAGGACGCCGATGCGGATGTTGATGGGGGAGCGACTATATAGACCACATTACGTATTGGATAGGTGTTTATAGTAGCGTATGGCTTTATTCCAGCGCTCTTTCTTCCAACCACGGCATCTGTTTGTCCAATTCAGGGGTTATCCTTCCTTTGCTCATTCTCAAGGGTTAGGGTACGGCTGAGCCGACCCCTGCCAGCCGAACCCCTACTGTCAACCAGGCGCGCCGATCGGCATCTTGGGACAACGAAACCGCGAACCGACCCAGAGCTGCATGCCAATTGCGAGCAACCCCCCCCTCCCAACCCGCGCAGAAGAGCAACCGCATCGCGATTCAACCGCAAGATGCTGCGCGCCAGCAATGCGGCTTGCGGCTGATTGACGAACATCGCGCGATTCTTCTCTCCCTTTTCCCCCAACTCCAACGGCAGCCGACCCGACGACCACACGAACCGACCAGCAGCCCGCAGCGCTGAATGAAACCGAAACAATGTCTTCCCCCGACAGTCCTTATACCAGCAACTCCAACCTCCGTGTTTTCGTCAAATGGCAAGACCAGGTCGTCTTTGCGGGTGAAGAGCTACGATGCACCATTACTTTCAAAAATGTCGCCCCTACCCGTCCTCCCCCTCCGGCATCATCAGGGACAACGAAACCCTTGCCGAGCTCGAGACATTTGAATGTTCAAAACGGTGCACGTGTTCGTCAGCCTTCGCCGCTTTCACCGGGCGGCGCCGCTGCTGCAGCTGCTGCGAGGGGAGGAGGATCAGGACCAGGATCTCGGAATAATGGCAATGGCTTGTTACCGCCGACACCGACGCAAGCTAGTGCTAGTAGTAGGGGGAGGGGGCATAGGAGTACCCTGAGCTTGACGGTGCCGAGTGCTGCTGCTGCTTCGAGGGCTAGAGCTGGGAGTATTCCTTGGTCGCCGGTGCAGGCGCCAGCGTCGGCGGGGTTGGGTTCGGGTACGAGGCATGGAGGGAGGAGTGGTGGGACTGGACACGCCGGCGGGGGTGGGAATGGGCATAAAAGGTCTGTTTCGATTGTGTCGATGGGATCTGCGGGGGGAGGAGATGAGGCGTCGGCGAAACCGGCTAGGCCCAAGGGGCATGCGAGGGCGTCGAGTTTGCAGATTGTGTCGAGGGGGGCGGCGGTTAATGGACCGAGGTCAGGTAGGTTTGGCCCACAAGCGACTGAGGGGGGGAGGAAAATGCTGATGAGATGGCATAACAGCTACGATACCGCCGAGGTTTCCTCCGCAAGCGCAACCGTCGCCTTTGTTTCATGCTTCGTATCCGCCGGATAGGATGACGCTGAGTGGGAGGCCCGGTGCGGCGACTGCCCCGACGACACCGGCGGTGTTGCCGACGAGGAGACGATCGCCGATTAGTGGACCGGGGCCGGATCCGATTTCGACGTTTAAATTTCCCATGGCAGAGTCGCCTGCTACGATGGATTCGGTGAGGAGTCTGGATGATACGTTGATGAGTCCTACGAGTACCATCAACGAGATGCAGGGGATACCGCTCCGGTCGAAGGATCCGGTGCCGACCATCAATGAGCACGGGGCGACGCCGTCTGCGAGGATACTGTCGACGACGAGTATAGCGGGCACCCCGAGGAGCAGTGGCGAGTTTTACTCGTTGAGTAATAATTCGTCCGAGACGTTGGCGTCCGAGTATGTGACGCAGCAGCCTCTGCGTACACATGGCCGGTCACAGCCGCATAATCGAAGGACGTCGAATATGAATCCGTCGAGTGCGGCAAGGATGCTTCCTGAGGCGCTCATGATGGGGTATGCTCAGGTTCAGGGGTCGTTTGTACTGGACGGGTCCCTGATCAATCTTGCGCCCTTTGAGCCGGTGAAGAGAAAGGCTGTGGTCGGCGGGCAGGGTGGTGGTGTGATCGGTGTTGAGACATCGAAACGCGATAGCGGGTTGCTACGGAGTTTTGGATGGGGCAATTTTACCAGTTCCATTGGTGAACTCCTGGGCGGCGGCGAGCTGAGCAGTATCAAGGAGATGCGAGGGATTGCCAGCTCCAAATCCGTCCCGCTATTATCCACGCCGCAGTCTATCTTGTTTGTCGACCTCCAGCTCGCACCAGGGGAAAGCAAATCGTACGAGTATTCGTTCCAGCTCCCCAAAGGCCTACCCCCAACACACCGTGGCAAGGCCATGAAAATATCATACACTCTCGTCATCGGTACCCAGCGGCCCGGCGGAGCCAAGGAGCAACAAGTCAAGTCTGTTGAGATACCCTTTCGCGTGCTGGGAAGTGTCAACAGCCACGGCGAAATCCTCGGCCACGATCTCATGACGCCCTACATCATCCTCCGCGACCAAGCCCGCATCAAAAGCATCCACCATCCCTCCCAGCCCAAACCCCAACCACCAAGCCCCCAATCCACGATAAACTCCTTTCTCACCTACCTTGACGAGCTCCTCTCCCGATCCCTTGAAAATCCGAACGGTTCACTCCTATCTCCCTCGGCCGGTCCTCCCTCGCGCCGACAATCAATCTACTCAGACCACGACCCAACATCCCCCTTCTCCCCTACCTTTGCCGCCTCCGCAAAGGAGGCCATCGACCTAGCCATCATGCGGGCAAACATGACAGAAGCAGGCCAGCAATCAGCCAATCGCTTCGAGATCGCCCGAAACGGCCGTCGCGTCGGCGTCGTCATGCTCGCCCGTCCAGCCTACCGTCTCGGCGAAGTCGTGACACTAGCCATTGACTTTTCAGCGGCCGAAATCCCCTGCTACGCCGTTCACTTTACCCTCGAAACCTCTGAGCGCGTGGACTCGAGCTTGGCGCTCCGAAGCGAGGCGAGTGTGCACAGAGTTACCAAGAAGGTATGGGCCAGCTCAAGCGAGGCAGCCACGTACGCGAGACGAGTCGTCTTTTGTCCGACCATCCCGACGACTGCAACACCCGAGTTTGTCACGAGCGGGGTGAGTCTAGAATGGAAGATTCGTGTGGAATTCGTGGTACCTGCCGAGGAAGGGGAGGGCGAGGACGAAGAACAAACGAAAGGAGGGCATCCCCTGCTGGAGGAAATATCGCGGGAGGATAGGGGCGGACTGATATTAGTCGCTGCTGAGAACTTGGTATGCGAGAGTTTTGAAGTGGCTGTGCCGTTGAGGGTATATGGCGCGGTGTGCAATGGGCTGGAGAAGCTAGAGAGGGATGAAGCGGGAGAGGGGGGGTTGGTTGTGTGATACAGGACGTCAAAAAGGGAAAAGGGGGTATTTGCATCGCATAGTCTGTTTATGAATGGAGCATTGAGCCAAAAAGAATCATGACCTTTCTTGCTTGCTTTCTATGTCGGTGAAGAGGTGGGGGTCAAAAAAGATGAACGTTTGCTGGATCGCAGACGGGAATTGAGCCCGACGTGGGGGTCGAACCCACAACCTTGAGATGACGGATAACTCCTTAAGAGTCTCACGCTCTACCGATTGAGCTAGCCGGGCGGCTAGTTCCTGATTTGTGATAGAACAGCCTGGCTCGTTGCGTTATGTGGCGTGGGTAGAGTTTGAGTAAAAGTTTGGGTGAAAGGTTTTGGTGTGTGAGTTGTGAGTGTGTGTGGATGTGGGTGGGTAGGGGGTGAGTCAGGGGGTCCACACGGGTAGGGAACCCGCAGGTTACACTTTTGTGGTCTTGTGAGGCAGAATTGAATTTTTATGGAATGAAACGAGAGGCAAAACAGCGAGGTCGTTGAGATGGCCACTGTCGGTAAAACAAAGGCTGTTCGGCATAAAAATTCTCAGAATGGAGGTTCAGACCGGGATGTTACGGGCAAAATTCAGGGAGGCAAAAAAGTCATGGGGCTGTTGTCGTATAACTGCCATGCCATGCCCAGTAACAGGATTGAACTGTTGACCTTCGCATATACCACGTAATCCCTCGCGAGATTATTAGTACGACGCTCTAACCAGCTGAGCTAACCGGGCTTGTTGTATTTGATGAAAACTTTGCGGGCAAGGTGATACTATGTGCGGCATTTGCAAGGTTGTAGGCTGTGTGTTGTGGGTGCTGAGTCGCAAAAGGGCTTCAAGCTTGGCATATCTCTCGTCATCAAGGTGTCCGGCTATGAGCCCGAGGTCTTGGTTTCGGGACCGTAAAGCTTGACGAAAGATGTAGCCTCGGATCTACCCACCAACCCAACCAACCCAAGCCACCCTTATAGTTCCCAATTCCCAACCCAACTTCCGTCCGTGGTTCAGCGGTAAAACGCGGCAACCACGGAGCCAACGTGGGCTTATTGAAATCCCTCTTGCCGTCCCGAGGGTCTCCATTCGAATCAGGGGATGAACCGGAGAACAAGCGATGTCGTAACAAGGATCGCTACACCACATGGTGACAATCGGGATCATTAAAGAAGAATAACCCATGGACGGGGGTTTTCGTAGCCACGGTGGGTGTGGGATCAGTGGTGAGCTTTTTGCTCGTTCTCATCTGGATGCGCACTTCGTGGGGCGAGGGGCTGATGAGGGCAACGAAGAAGTGAGGAACATCACATGCACATTGCAATCCGCTTCAACACCCTGAATTGACTCCCGTCCTGAGACGGTTCCCAGTTTCTTATCCATACAAGCAGAAAAAACCCTGTGCCACCTGTAACGCCGTCAAGTTCTGCCCAGACCCAGAACTTGTCCGTTATCCATCCTCGACTGCAAAGAAAAAAGGGTGCCTTTTGGCATGTAGATACCCTCCCAGCTAAACAAAAAAAAGGGCCGCGCCAGAAAAAACAAAACCGTCAGTAATACAAGTCCGTAAAGTAGAAAAAGCATCCGGAGGGGGTATCTCGCCGCTGTGTGTCCTCTTTCTTCTTCTTTTCATCGCCTGTTGGTGGTGTGGGTTGGGTTTGCTGTAGTCCATCCCAAGTCCACAACCTAGGGCAACCCGACGGGCCTCTTCATCTCATCTATCATATTGACTCGGGCTCTGTGCATAGAGCCCCTTCGTTGGAACTCGAGCTTGATCCCTCGCCTGCCGTTCGCGGCCTGTCCATAATGAGCGAGTTCTTCTCCTCCTCGCTCAGTCGCAGCTGGAGCTTCTCGCCCAGCATGCTCACCAGTCGTTCACTGTACTGATCAAGAAGACCACTGAGAACCGTCTCGCTGACGGTCTTGCTTCGGCCAGACTCTCCTCGTGTGCTTCGGCTTCTGATGGCCCTCTCGCCCAGGGCTGCCGCCGTCAAACGCAACTCGGCATCAAGCTCAGACAGAATATCGGGGTTGATCAACTCCGTGGATGACAGCTTTTTGCGGTATGCGCGCAGCTGGCGACAAGTTTGCTCCGTGGCCATGCTGAGACTTCCGAAATTGTAACCGCGGTGCAGGCTGTTGTTCGACTTCTTTCGCGACGAGATACTTCCTGAGGGTGTGTTCAGCACGGGCAGTGAAGGGCGTCGCAGGATCCTGGAACGGGTCTTAGGGCTCTCAGGAGGGGGACTGTTGGACGCACTGTTACCGCCTGACGAAGCGCGTCTGGATGGTGTTCCCTCGGCAATCATGCTCCCGGGGCTGGTCTGCTTCTCGGCCTGGGGGGTCCGGGTCGCCGCCGTCACGGCGAGTTGAAACTTGGAGGGTCGCCTTTGTACGGGCCGGGGAGGTGATCGACGTCCGTGGCTGGAGGGCGGTCGTTGGAACTCGGCCAGTTCTGCTTTCGACAAAACTCTCCTGAGGGGCGGTCGGTTGAAGTTGAGTGATGACGTCTTCTCCGGGGATGGATCGCGCATCCTCGATGAGGCCACCGGGTCCTGGAGGTCAAGTGCCCAAATCATAATGGTACCATCCTCACCCACGCTGACAACCTTTCGCTCCCCCTCGTCAGCACCGTCAATCAGCGTCACGCCGTTGATGGCCTCAGTGTGTCCCCACTCGCGGTCCATGAAGCCGCCGGACTGAGCGTCGTAAACGCGGATAGACTTGTCTGTGTTGGAGAGGCCCAAGAGAAAAGACACATCGTTAGCACCGAATTGGCCAAACATAAGGGACTCGAGGACCACGGTTTCGAGCCCTACTTCGTCATTGCACTTGAACGAGCTCAGGAGCCGCCCAGTGACACAATCAAACTGCGACACCGAGCGGTCGAGCATGGAAACAAACACCGTCTTATTATCGGGCGTCATCGCCATGGAAGACGGAGATGCCCGGAGGGAAATCACCTTCAACGGGATGGCGGCCATCGCATCCGGCTCGCCCTCTTTGGTAACGAGGTCGTGGATTTGCAGGGTGCGATCGAGAGAACAGGTCAAGACCTTGTCGTCGGAAGGGATGAGCACCTGCACCACCTTTGAGCTGAACTCCAGCGTTTGAAAGTGTTCAAACGATCCGGTCGATGACTTGTGGAAGAGCTGTGCCGTGCGATCCCTACCACAAGACGCCACCAACGTCTTCACTTTGCTCTCGTAAACCGTAATGTCTTGACAGTCAGAGGCATGTGCTTTCGTCTCCATCAGGCACTCCTTGGTGGAGGTATCGATGATGCGGAGGATGCCGAGTTTGTCTCCCGCAACGAAGAAGCTTGCATCATTCGTAGCTCTTACCACCACGACTTGATTGACAGGCTCCGACTCGTTTCCGGCCTCGATCTGTTCGATCGGAATATCGAAGCTTCGTTTGGTCATCCCGTCAATGTTCCAGACCGACACGTTTCCAGATGCAGACCATGTGAAAAAGTCAGCCTGGTACGCGTTCGGCTCCGCCAGTCGCTGGACACCGACAATGTGGTCCCCAGGGCCTGGGATGGGAATGTGATTCTTGTCACACTTTGAGCTTGTGGGGATGTGGTCTGGACTCCAAATGTTGACGGAGCGCTTGGTATCAATGGTTACCAGGTTTTCAGCGAGAAATCCCATGGCAATGAGGCCGTCGTCAGCCTGGGAATTATGCACGATTGGGTCTGGGTTTCCATTCAAGATGGACTCCAGGCCGAGAACGGCAAACTGCCCATCCTTGCCACCAATCTGAACTAGGTCATTTCGACTCGAGACGCAGTTGATGGAAAACCCAATGTCGAGGATCTTGGACAGCTTCATCTGCTTCTGCGTGTCATCAAGTAGGCATACGCTGCCCGTTTCTGAGCAGATAATAGCCTTGTCCTCCCCAATGGCGATAGCACAACTGAAAGTGGCTTCTAGCAGTGTGCCTAGGAGAATATTCCTTCCCGGTAGAGTCTTTTGCGTCTGCTGGGGTACCGGAAACGATCCATCCCCGGGGAATTTAGACTTGGTTGGCGAATTGGAAACAGTCTCGTCCACCCTCCACACTTTGATGTGACGGACGCCCAGAGTGATGAGATTATTTCCCATCCATACCATCCCCTTTACAAACGACGTGCAGCGATTTTGTTGAAACAGCTTCGCGGCACCCGTCTTTGGGTCAATCTTCCACAAAAAGAGGAAGCCATCGTTTGCGGTCCCTAAGGATGCCAGAAACTTGGTATCCGGGGACCAGGCTACGGCCTTGACGCCGAACGTATGCTCGCTTATGGACACGAGAGGCGTGTCAGACGAAGCCTCCTGGAGGTTGAAAATGAGCACTCGCGGCGCATACCCCGTCTCTCCCACGGCGAGGTATCTTCCATCCCTGCTCAGCGCCAGACACGTGGCGGCCTTGATCCGCTCACGGCTCGTCCATGTCTTGGAGCTTGGTGAGTCGGCCCAGTCCAGCGCTCCGTAGAGGGAATCTCGCGGAGAAGCAGCAGATCTGTTTCTGCTGTCATTTGCCTTCGGCGTAGACGTAGCGTTTGAAGATGCATGGGTCACTGGAGACACAGCATATACGGGCACCGCAGATGGTCGGGCCCGGTAGAAGCGCTGCGAATAATGCTCGCCCGACACATCCACCACTACCACCGCTCCTCCCGCAATGTAGGCAAAGGAAGAGTGAACCGTATCGAACCCGGTTGGGGAGCTGCAGGTGGAGCCCACCACCCTTCGCAGGGAGAGGCAGCTGTCGTAGACTAGCCGGGAGCGTATGGGCGACCGCGAAGGGCGCGAGAGAAACGGAGAATTGGACGGCGTAAGTTTAAGCCGGTTCGAGGGAGTGGATGCCATCTCTCCTCATAGCCATTGACTGGTGAGGGGAGCAGCGGGAATGTCGTCGGGAGTGCTCAGGGAAGCGGAGCGTGCATCGGTCGCCAGAGTGGAGAATGCGGTCGACGTCGGGGCTAGCGGGAGGGTAACGAGAGGGTAACGAGGGTGCGAATCAGAGGAAAGGACAGAGGCGGTGTGGTGCAGGTGCAGCCGCAGATGCGTTGGTTGGATTGCGAAAGGGTAGTCGCTGTCTCAAAGAGTGATGTAGACAATGATGACGAGGTGTGTGGTGGATTTCAACGCTGCAAGGCCAAACGAGTTGGATTTTGTGTCAGTCCAAGGCCCATCCCGCAAAGTTTGCTCGACATTGTCAGAGTGATGCAAGAGCCAAGCTTACAGCGACTGATGCGGCGAGAACAAGTCAATTGCCTCGAGCTCGCAATCAATTAGGTCCACGACGGGATGAAGGGCATTTGATTGACTTCCACGCGCAAGAGGGCGAGATTTGGAGAGAAAGTGAAAGGGAAAATGCAAGGGCTGGCGCTCACCTCGAGATGCCTGGTGCAGACCGGGACCTGGAAAACACGGACCAGCTGGGGAGCTTGGGGAAGCAGCCCAAAGTTTGGCCTGGTTTGTTTTCCGACAGGGGTACTTGGGTTGACCGGGGAAGGGGATGCCCAGGAGGTGGCTCGTGCCCTTGTTTACCGGGCGGGACTTTGCCGGACAGTTGCCGCCTCGAGAATGTTGACAGGTGCCGTCCAATCACCTTTTCCACCACTGCCGAGATGCAATACCATCGACGTCTTCACTTTGCAGCAATTGCCGTCGCTTTCATCCAGCAAAACCCCGACAGCATCAAATTTTGCAGCTTTTGGTTTGGTGGTATCTTTCAGTTCGGGGCTGGCATCT